TTGAATTTTTCCAAAGCTGAAGGAGTCAAAAAATCGCCCCGTTAGACCGTTTTTTTTTTCATGATTCCCGGAGCAATTCAACTGAAAACACGAGTTTAAAGCATTCAAACACTCACACCTCTCTTATACCCAATTGGAGTAATGATAATATAACATCGCACAAGCATTGCGCTTTATGAAAGATACTGAACCCTTTTCTAGAATGTTGTAAATACTTAAATTTTTCCTCCAAACGCTTCTGGTAAACCATCAGTAGTCAGTCTACCCTACTGGTCACTTTTTTACGAAGTCAATTCTAGTTTAAGACATTGGTTATCCACGAGAGCATATTTGTGTACGTAAACAACGAAATATGGACACTTCCGCAGCAGAATCTTCTCCTCTGAGGTGCGCATGCACTCGTTCGTAGTTGATAGTTTGAGAAGCCCTCGACATTTATACCCCTCCACTTTCTATCGCGAAAGCAAACGTTTCAATTCTGATCATTTGATGGTCTAAGTCTGAGGAACTGAGCGAGAAAACCTGAAAAATATATACCTTATCACGTTTTTTTCACTCATTTAGTTTTCTTATAGCGAAAACCACCACTTCTAACCTAGACCCAAGAAAACCGCTGCATATTGCGACGATGACCCCGCGATTACGATCCCCCTCTTTTTTCACCCCCAAAATACGACCCCCCCCCGACCCCCTCGTTGGACTTTGTCCAACGGACGGTTTTTCGAGTTCTTTTTCCGAAACAAAAGCAATATTTCTGTTCTTCCTATTCTTATGGCGGATAATGTGTCTCTAGCCAGTGATTCATGGCTGGAGTATAATCATTATTTTTAAAGAATCAACGATTCTAGCCGTTTCCATGATGAAACAAGGCGAACCAATATTAAACTGTAATGTGAACATTATTTGCAGTTGGCACAGACGCAAAAAAGAAAATCTGCACAGATACACAGGAACAAAGTAGCGGAAACTGGAGCAGGAATGATCCTTTCTTTTCATTCACTTGTATGCCCAAGGCTTTTCCTTCCCTGACAGAGCAAGTAAGGTTGTAGGGAAAGTCTTCGCGGTTGACATTTGTTGTTTCTCTGGCTTTCCGAAAGAAACAAAACACATGAGGATGCAAGGTTCCATTACACTCTATCACTCTTTGCCACTTTTCGGGCAGACTTCGGCTGCCGTTACCAAGGCACCGCCCTGAGTTCGACTCAAAAAAATTACTCAACCGCGATCTATGTCATCTTCACTTTCGGACGTTTTTTCTTGTATAACATTCGATAGCGAAAGGGAAAGGTGGTATTCTGCTGGAACAGTATCCTGGCTGTACGGTGGGTTGTTTCCCCTCTTCCACCCAGACTCTACTCGCTTCTACTGGGTCACTGTTTTAGTGCGTGGACGAACGTTGTCGTGCAAGAATAATACCATGCCGCAATTTCCATGCTTCATTGCGATCTCGGTGCCCATTCTATCCAGCTCCTGATAGCACGCGTCCAACGCGAGAGTAGTGCAGCGCGGCAGTAGCTCGTAATGGATAATACGTTAGCAGTCTCACCAAAAACAGATCATAACCTTCAGAGGGTGAACACCTGCCTTCTGTTGCAGCTCAGGCTGGTCACCCTTGTCAACTCGGCGTTGGTGGGCCTTGATGTTGACCTACAGACTGCACTTCTCATCCTGTGTGACGACGGACTTCAGCCAACCATCCGTGGGCCTGCACGAGAGCCATTCATTAGTCATCTCGGCACGTGCGGACAATCGTGTTCGGTCAAGCTGTGGGGTACGCATAGTCCCAGGTTGTGCACCTTTCCCAACTGAGCAGGTGACCGGCAGTGATGTTAAAGGATACACCCGAGACTTATGCGACTTCACGCGCAGTTTGCCTTAAGTCTGCCCACACCGGCTTACGCAAACGACCATTGTCGACTTCGAGATCGCGTCCCGATTGTGTGGAATTTTCAGTCTTAGAGTTTCCCTCGCGGAAGCGTTCAGACCAACCTTGTGCGGCGCATTCGGATACCCTGCCTTCTCCACACGCAGCATAAATGCGACGTCTGGATTAGGTTGCTGATTCGCCAAATATCAACCCGTATAGTAAAATGATAGTAAAGTGTCATGAAAGTGCTGTTGTGAAAGTTGCATATTGCAGAAACGTGATGAGCTACAGGTAATAGCTTATAATTATACTAAACTTGCACATATATGTTCTCCGTATATATGCACGAGCCAAGTTGCTGGCAGGCGTTTAGATTAAAAAAAGATTTTTTGAAAACCGCAAGGACTTTCCCTACAACCTAATACATTGCATACGTAATGTTAACGTCGATACTGAACTCGCATTAGTTGTCAGCAACGGGTCTCCCCCAACAGGCCCACCGTGCGGCGAAGCAAGAGACGCAGACGCGGCACACCCGTCAGCAACCCTATTATTTTTCTTTCGGAAGGTTCTCCGGCGCTGCGAATGGCGTGCACTTTCAACTTGCTTGTAATATTAGGCGTTTGCAATACAAGAGAAAAGAAATGCAGCAACTTGTTTTCAGGGTGCTGGTTGTTCGACGACGGGCATCTCGCTAACGCAATTGTTAACTCGACAAAAACAGAACATGTTAGAGCCCTGTTCATATAGAACTAAGCTCTCCACTTAGCCAGCTAAGACAATGTCAAGAACTGGGCGCTATTCTAAGAGGAGCTACCTTTTCGCCCTAGCTCTTTTTCGTTTTTTGCACATCAAAAAGGGCGCATAACAAGATATCGGGCTTCCCCTCGAGACTAAGCCTCAACGGGCGGCAGGAGCAACGAAAAAGATGGAAATCACTTTCTGACACCTCCACTTCCTCCGCCAAGCCTAGTCCTTTTTCTAATGCAAAAACAATCTTTTGACGAGTTTTACTTACGCGTTATCGTCGCGTGCTTTTCCATCGTTTTGGCGAATTGCGGCCGTTCTTTGATTTGTTTTGTTGTTTTGTGTTTCTATCGACTTAGATAGAATGTTGGCTCTTAACATTTTTGTGACGTGTTTTGCTGTTAGAAGCCCGTTGCTCTTTTTAGCGACGTTTGTTTCGTTGAAGCCAACGTGGCAGCAGCAGATGCCCGCAGTCGGACAACAGCCCCTTGTTTATGACACCGATGAACCGCTCTTGCTAAAAAAAATTCAGGAACATTTTAAGATTCTCGAACGGAAATTTTTTCGCACCCACCTTAACCTCAAAATCTGAACCTGGACCTCGAACTAAAGGATGCCCACCTGCTTCCATTTCCTGATCACGTCCTACCGAACAAATCTCATCCTAACCATCGGGATGTCAAAATCGACACCTGATCTTACTTCGATTAGCATTCAACAGAATTCTACAAGAGAAGCATCGAATAGCTTCTAGTGCGTTGGCAATAGGTTGTAGATATTGATGGTTATCATGCTGGATGTGTGGAACAAATGATAACAAAAATGTAAAAATCAAAATTTAGCCAAGTTGTTGCAAGACTTATGTTCTAACGTAATAGAATAGATTGTTACAAAGTTACTGTGACAGAATCTGCATCAAACAGGTGCATGCATCAAGAACTGCACAATATTCGGAACCAGTGGAACTTGCGAGCTCTGCTGTTCGGGGATCTATGTAATGACACCGAAAATCCGGTTACTCCAGCTCCAATGAGTTTCTCCTTAACATAAAGGTGTGCGCTGGGAGGCTGATTTGTACCAGAATACGGAATCAATACAGTCCTTCGAAGCAAACTTCCAAAATTCTGTTAAGTGTATAGTAAAGCAAATACACAAGAATTGAACATCAAAATGTATACAACGGATTGAGCGCATTCACTACATCTTTCACGACTACATCTTAACCTTTGAAGATAATCAGCAAAAAAGAAACCAGAGAACCGTGAGCCTGAACAAAAGGTGAGTTATTAGGTAACTCCAATTTACATGAACTCACATGGTCCAATCAATCACAAACTACAGGAATGGGAGGCTTGAGAAATCAGTGTTCTTTGTTTGCTGACTTTGCTCGCGCTAATGGTTTCGTTCAGCTAGTTTTACAGCCTACGCACGGTTACAGTTTTCTGGATATACTAATTCTGACTGACAACCCCACTCTCGTGAGTGACGTCTCAGTAGAAGCACTTCTTTAAGCTTCCGATCACTCCACAGTCACTTTTGCGCTATCTTTCACTGGGCCAGATCAACCTCACAGGTTTTTCATAGTATTTGCGGAAGGGAACCATAATGTCATCTGCGATTATCTTCTCCGTGTTAACTGGCGTCAGATCTTTGATGGTTGTGTGAAGATAGATGACTGCTACTTAGCCATCATGAGTTGTTGCCATTCTCTGGTCTTCAGAGTTGTGCCTTATCGCTACATAAGTGATAAAGCAACAAAGGTTCCACGACACTTGTTAAGGCTTGAGGCTCAAATAGACAAACTAAATAGAAAGAAGAATTACTTCCATACTCGGAAATATCTTCAGCTATCAAGGCTACTGCAAAAGAAACTGGCAAGGATTAGTCTTCAGCGTGGAGAGAAAATTGCGCGATCAAAAAATGTCAAAATTTTTGGAGTTGCTGCAATTCTAGGTGTACACTCGCGTGGTTCAGCGGTAATATCGAACTTGGGTAATTAAACTTTATCCTAATAGTACAAATAAAATACAAACAGTACAACCGATATACAACACGATATAAGCAAAAGAAACCATTTCAAAGCATTAAAAATGGATAAAAAGTCATAAAATATGAGATTACATGAAAAGAGGAAAGAAATTGCTCTAGTATGCTCACTGATGCTCACTGATGCTCTATGATGCTCGCACTGCTCTCAAAGAAAAGAAATCTGAGTTGGAAGGAGAAAAAATGCAGGGGAATGCTCGCCGGTCCCTCTTTTAACGGACGCTTAACGCTCGGCGGGGTTATCACGACCTCGCATCTAGCGAGGAATGCTCTTTAGATTAAGCTACATATTGTTCTATGCTCTGCTCACGTCCATGACACTCCCCCAGGCGTTATAGGCTCAGGGCTGAGATGTTGAGGAGGCGGGCCCGTAATAGCCTTCATTTGTTTCAAGCTCCTGCTGGATCTCTTCCAACTCTCTGCAAGCATCACCGATTTTTCCGGTAGGTTGCACAGGCTTTGTTGTGGAGGTTGGATCCACAGTACATGCACGAGATTCTCTTGTTAGGACAAAACTGCTTATAGTGACGGCTATCCAAGCAGTACTTACATCGGACACGCGGGAATCTTCTCTCAACACTGGCGTATCTCGGGCAACTGTCATAATAAGTCTCTTTGATTAGGCAGAAGGAGCAAATTAGGTAGCGGTTTTGGTCTCTCATTTTGTCAACTTGGCGGATGCACCTCTCTAGTGCGGCTGTTCTCGTTCAAGTATGCTCTTAACTCAGCTATACGCCTTTCCAGTTCAATCCTTGCCTGATTTTCGGGATGCTGCACTGGCTGCGGACTACGCCTTTCTGATCTAATCGCGCTCGGCATCATCTTGCGCAACGTCAAATTCATAGTCGTCCTAGGTCCAAGAAATCTTCCTCCGGTTCTTCAGAAGCAGTGTCTCTTCCAACGGATTCCTCGACATGCTCTGACAGTGCCTTTTCGACACTTTCACTCTCCCTGCATCGATTCGGCTTGTCCCTTTTAGAGCAGGTTCTCCGGATGCTCTTGGTTCTCCTGTACCTTCATCGCAGCGGCAGATAGAGACTCAAATCTTTCGAACAGCTCCTTTATGCTCTCGTTCTGGCCATCAATCTTTCGCAAAAGTTCCATGTACTGTTCTTCCTGCTCCTTTCGCAAGCTGGAGATCAGTTCCTTCACTGTATCAAGAGGGCTGACATGGCGTTCGCTTTCTTCTTGAAGCTGGGCTTCCCTGATCTCATGCTCTAGGTGCTTAAGTTCGGCAAGAAAGTCAAGCTCCTTTCTGATGAAGTCAGCCATGAAATTCGGTTCCATGGCTACGCTTTGCTCTTCCTTGTCGTGAAAGCGATCTCGAGAGTCTGCCACTTTGTCATCTGATAGAACCAGAAGTTCGTACCCTTCATCGATAGTGCTTCGGCAGTGCTACGGATCCTTTCGCACATTTAGCAGGCTTCAAGATGAAGTTTCTGTAAGCGACTCTTGTAGAGCGTCGCCTCCATGCTCGCAAAAAGTTTGGGCTCAGTCCCACGCAATTCGGTAAAGGCTCCAGAAAGAGAGTTAGACTTCACGAGCAACAAGATCGATTTTACAAATCTACGTATCTTCTTCTGAATGTCCTCTTCCGAAGAGAAAGTAGACGCCAGTCTGACGCACGAACGATTGTGCTTTATTTCGTCGATCAGCTTGCGTTCCTGGGCTTGGCGCTTTCTTGTGAACTCTTCCTCTTGCTTCGACGATGACATGCTCTGAAATGGAGGAAATAAATTGTCAGAATACAAGGAACTAACTACTGATTTGCTAGTAAGCATGATCTCAGAGGAAATTCTCTGCTTTGCTCTCAAATTTGTCGCGTTTACGAAAAAACAATGCTTTCAGCAGATGCTTTAAAGTGCATATCATCATGCGCAGAAGCAGCTTGCATGCAAGCCTTTGCAGTTTCCTAAACTTTCCATGCACCAATCAATGAGCTTGTAGCATGCTGATAAAAGATAAAGGTAGCTCAGAAGAAGTGCTGAAGCTACGGCAGCAATGGTCAGTATTAGGCTTTTATACCATTGCAGATATATGTCAATTATGTGGCTGATGTCAGGCCAAGAAATTCTAGAAAATATATCAAGGGAGAATATATTAAAAGAGGTTCTGTTATGATTCTGCTGTATGTACTGCTTGATCCCTCCTTTGAGACTGTGCACATATTTGAGTATGCCACTCGAATCGAAATGCTTTGACCTTGACCCACACCTTACTGAGCACTGGACATAGACTCGTGCTGAGTCAAAAAGAAAGTGAAGATGAGATTCTACGCCAGTAGGAAAGCAAGGAATAGTGAAGCTTCCGTTACCATATTTGACTTCGGCCGATGTGTTACTAAGAGTGGATGTGCAAGTTATTTTATCTCGTGCTCCCTTGCTGCACTGATAGCACCCGGTGATATCGGCATTTTCGATCGTGCAAATGCCTCCCTTGATTTCAGTAATCAAGTCAGTGGCAGCTTCTTTCAAGGTCAGGGTAATTTCCGCAGACACATCGTGCTCCATTTTCGTAACGACGGCATGATGCGGACGCTTTGAAAATTGTACCTGATCACGGATCACCGGTAATGCGTTTTCTATACTCAAGAAGGTCTTTTCGACTTCGTCTTCTTCGCATTTACACATCACCTGATTTTCTGCAGGTGTGCATTCGCAGTCAACCTGCATAATGCACTGTAGCGGTCGAGCATGCGCCGCTGATGAGCAATGGAGTCTTGGATGCTTCTATTTGTTCCAGATAGCTGTATAGTTCTCCGAGTTGATGAAGTTCTGCTCAAGGATCAAAAGTGGTGGAGTTGAAAGCACACTCAGCGTTACTTCGAAGCTGCGGATCCGTGTTGGAATATTAGGTCGCAAGCCAATCACATAAGAATGCATCTGGGTCCCTTCATTGATGTCAAAATAAAGCTTTACCTCCTCATCCCACGTGGTGCACTTATAAAGTTCATAGATAGTGTCGTCTTTGGGCACGGCATATATCCTGTAGAAGAGGCAGCCAGAATCCCAATGAAAACAACCACACCCTGGGCCTCCGCAAGATTCCAGACAATATGTGATGCCAGGGAAATTGTTGCCAATCTTGAGCTCAGGTAGCAAGCTCGTTGCGTTCACGTCTGCACACGTATTTCCGATGCACGACCCCCTTATTGAGCATCTTTTGCTATCGACAACCTTCGAAACCACATCCTTGTAAAGAGTATTGATTCTTGATTGCACAGTAATCGTAATTCTCCTCAACGACGTCTTGCCTTGATGAGGGCAGAGCCATTTTTCATGAACGTTAGACATGCATCCCTTTTGAATGGATTGATCTTTACTAAGGATGTCATTTCTACGTCGCAAATGCTCTTTCCTTCTGCCAAGCGGCAATGCTCTACCTGATATGAGTTAGCTAATGCTTCGTTTAGCGGCACGCCATCTTCATCCTCTAGACCTGCTTCCTCCCGCACAGGTGAGGCTTTTGCATACGATCCGATCGTTCTCTTTGTGATATCGATTGTGGTGTGCTCATTTATCTCCAACGGTTACTTGTGCTTTTTATTCGATGTACTTCTCGTGTATATCTCAACGTCTACCTAGTAACTTCTATTGGTATTGATGTCTTAAGGATAAAACTCGGTAATTTACTTTTCTGTGGACAAGGGACTGATCTAGCAGCCTTCATTGCGTGCGCTCGCTTACTGTAAGCGTAGCGGTCACTTGTTGAAGTCAGTTCCTTCTTTTAGCAGTGACTCATCTCTTTCAGGGCGGAGACCATCGGCGCCGTCGACCGAGAGAGACGTCTGGCAGCAGCGGCCGAGGACCGCGACCTCTTTCTCACCTCCGCTTCTCACCTTCCAAGGGCGACGCCCTCAACACCTAGAGCTGCGTACGATCTGATCGTTCTCTTTGTGCCATCGTTTGTAGTGTGCTCATTTATCTGCAGTGGTTCTTTGTGCTTTTTCATTCAATGTATCTCTTGTGAATATGAAATCTGTCTGGTAACTTGTATTGGTATTGATGCTTTAAAGATAAAACTTAGTAATCTACTTTTCTGTGGACAAGAGGATGATCTTGCATGGGAAGATGTTCACCTCTTGACAAGGTCCTCTTCTGAAGATCTCTGTGACATAACTCCGGCATGTAAGCAAAATTTGTCCGAATAGGAGATACTGTGCGTATCCCTTTGAGCATGATTCGGAACGGTCGGCCTACACTTACTATCACATAGCATATCGTGTAGCAAATAGCGACCAATAGGTACAGAATTATACCTAATCCCGTTATCGCTGCAAGTGGCCAGCACTCTGGATTTAGAACATATGCCGTACATACTGTAGAATCGATTGCAGAACAAAATGGCTGTGCTGGACAGGTTGTTTCTACAACCGTATACGAGTCTTCTGCTTTCAATTTCCAGCGTACTTCGAAGTCGTGAATTATTTCTTCTGGTGGTAAACGGATGAGTTTATGAATTGGAGGTGTCTTCTCTAGTACACAGTAGTTGTTGACACACAATTCGTGCTCTTGTGACTGCGGGGCATGTAGATATACTCCAACTTCCCTGCAGTCAACTGCGTAGTCTGCGGAGGATCGTGTGCTCGGTTGGTTCTGAATGCTCGGATGCCCTCCGCAAACAACTGACATGATCATGAGAGTTAGGGCCATTTTCAAGTAGAGGGATAATGGCCATGTTCTGGTGCGCTGTGAGGCGAAGCAATGAACATCGCTTAAGCTCTGACATTGCTCATCAGTATAACGCACTGTTCTTCTTGGACGCAGATTGTAACGTTCATTCCAATGCTGTGGCTTAGGTCGTTGATTTTTTCGGATTTCACTCTGTTGCCTGTCATCGCGACTTCCTGGTATTTCTAAGGGTATGAGCTGCTTGACAGGACGTCGCAGTGTCTTTTTATTGCAGTAGACTTCAACTTCTCTCACGGCTCCGTCGCTGCTCGGAACTATCCTGGGAATGCGAGCTAGTTTCCAAGTGTTCCTTTTTTGATTCGGATCGGTCAATAGCACTACTGCTCCTTTGCAAACCTCCTTTGTAGTTCCTCGTTTACCTTTTATTGTTCTGCGATGCTGCTCACGAAGAGCTGTCAAGTATTGGTCCTTCCATACGTTCCAGAAGTGATCCGTGATAGCACAAGATGACAGTAGTGCTCTTTGTGCTTGCAGGCTCGTTTCAAGACGTAGCCTTTCCGCTGGAGGTAAGTAATTCGGGTCCGAGTTACCTTGCTCGAAACGTTCCAATGGCAGGGTGACATCCAGTTCTTTCTGTATAAAGTCGATAGGACGCAAAGGTATTATGCTATCCTCGATGTAACTTCCTTGGTATGTAAGTGGCCTACTATCAAGGCATCCTTTTATTTCAATCAGGAATGTGCATAACTGCTCCACTGTCAGGATGCGTTTTCCCGTTGCTTTGATCAGTGCGTGTTTAAGCGATTTGATGAGACCACCCTCATAGAAACCTCCTTTCAAAAGTGAGTATGGCGTTATATGCTTCCATTCAATCAACTGATCGCTCATGACGCGGGATATCTCATCCTCCTCTGTACGTGCACCTAGCGACTCGTTTATAATTTGGCTTCTCAGGATGAATGTTGGAGCGTTATCACAAGTTACAGAGCGCTGTTTACCTCGTCGAGCTACAAATCGACGGAATGCGTTCAGAAACTTCTTCGTAGTTCCATCTACTGCGACTTCCAGGTAATCAAGACGAGTAACACAGCATGTGAATATACAGCCGTAAACTTCGATGCGTTCTTTGGTTTCCGTATAAGCTGTGATCGGACCAAAGTAGTCTAGTCCTATATTCTGGAAAGGTGACGATTTCTTTACTCGGCGTTTTGGAAGGTCCGTCATTTCGGGATAGTTGTACGGCAGATTGTTAAGTTTTTGACAAGCGACGCACGAGCGTATGCATTTTTTTACTTGCTCTCGGAGTTTTGGTATCCATTATTGTTGCCGCACTTCTGCCATGGTGTGTCCGGTACTGTTGTGGTACTTCCCGTGCGCTTCGAGCACTATGAGGCGAGGTAAGTCCGTGTTCGGCACAATTAGAATAAGATTGCTTGCCATATATCTCAGTTCTGACCTATTCAAACGGCCATAAACTCTCATCAAGTGCTTTTCATCTTCTTTTTATTGATGGTCTTAGCTCCCTTCTGTACTGCGAACCTAGATGCACTGCTTGATGGTTTCTGATCATTACATCGTGAGCATCTCTGATGCTTGATGCTGTAAGACGTTGTCCTTCGTTAGCTTTGTCAATGCATGGTAGTATACGCTGTATTTTTTCACGAAGTGAATCCTGTACGTGAGAGGCGATACCTTTCCAAAAATCGCAGTACATACGCCAGAATTCTGAGGGATTTCGTCTTACTGTTGTATTTCACCAAATCGAGAATGTCCTTATCTGGGACCCATCTGTCGTCGTACTTGCACAGGAAGCAACGGATCACCTGCTTGTTCTTCCTCGTCGGTCTCATTCGGAATGCTGGAAATGCCAGATACGAATCCGTTATTGGTGTTGTTTTCCGGTGGATATCCTTCCCTCCACGCATGAGACGATAGTTCCTGAGTAGATGCTACCCGTATTCCAATATCTGCTGGGTTCCATTTAGTGTCAATATAGCCAAACTCCATTTCAACTCCCATGTCCACTAGTGATTGCACGATACCACGCACTTCTCGTACTCGATTTGTGATGTATGGTCCCCTTTTCTCTCGATGTGGGCTACCTTTCAGCCATTTCAGCACTATTTCTGAATCCGTTAGCAACACGATTTTTGTGATGCTTACCGATGATCTGAGACTCAGGAATACGTTGAGCGTGAGGCGTGCACCAATTGTTATGGCATTCATCTCCATTTTGGGTATAGTGGCTGGATGCTTTGTATCCGCCACCTTTGATTTGGCCATGAGAAAGGTGGAAGTTCTTTCCGTTGTGAGGTAGGTGCATGCTGTCATGGCAATTCCACTAGCGTCGGAATATGTGACCAACGTGTACGCTTCCACTTTATTCTGCGTGATTATCCTCGGTAACTCCTAATGGAAGCCGGACATGTCTTTGACAATGCAACTCCACTGCTGCTTATGCTCTTCGCTCAATGGCTCATCCCAGTCGTAATGGTTTTTCCATAGGAGCTGTTGGAAATGCTTTGCTCTGGTCGTATGAATATATCACCCGAATGGATCATATATTGATGCAATTTGTTGGGCAATTGTGCGTTTGCTCACGAGTTTTTCGTCACGTACGTTCACACTGAGCGAAATCTTATCTGTGATGGAGTTCCAAGGTATCCCAAGTACCTTGGGGGCTAGATTTGGGGAGCGATCAATAGTTGATAAGGCTCCCATGATATTGGGGTTGTTGGTCACGAAGGCCCTGAGGTTCGAGGTCGCTGAGGATCGACTTCAATGCTTTGTACTTCCGTATACCTTCAGCTGCCGTATCTGCCCCAACGATCAGGTTACACGCAAAGGTTGGATGCGATTTCGGTCCCCAGCGCCTTATCTTTTACGCGGTTGTTCAAGCGGAACTGAATTGCTGTACTCAAAAGGAACGGTGATGCGTTAATTCCGGAGGTTACCCTCTTGAATCTGTAGAAGATAAGATTGTCGTCTGTTAGCGGTTTTGTAACATTCCTGATCCAAAGGCCCCTGATGATCAGAAAGTAAGACGTACTTTCTGGTGCGGAAATGTAGGAGGATTCCATAATATAGGGAGTATGGTTGGTCCTTGATGCACCACTTCGTTAAGTGAAGGACAATTTTTGTAGTGCGCTGATGCACCAAGAACTACTCTGAACTTCGTAGTATCCTTCTGTGGGGTAATCACGGGTTGATGATGAAGGTAATGTCTTAGATTCAAAGATGTCCTTTCTTTCGTCTACTTCCTCCAAAACGCTTTTTTTGAGCTGATCTTGAAATACTTTATGGTACTGTTCAAGGATATCTGGATGTGCACCATACTTACGCAGCACACTTTTCAGTCGATGAAGTACCAATGCTCTGTTATCTGGCAAAGGCTCATGCTGTTCTTTGAATGGAAGTCGAACAACATAGCCGTATTGGCGTTTTTCAATGGTACTGTTGAAGATTTCTAGTACCTTTTCGTTGATGCGAGCTCTCTCTTCTTTTTCTGGGCACAATCATCCAGTAAAATTTCTTTTGAGGTTATTATGGGTGTACAGTCGCAGCTTGAGCTGCTCTCCTTCAGAGTCCCATACGCTCAGACGGGTATCGATACACTAAATCTCTTTTGCGGTTTTTGCGCCAAAGGATGCGCGTAAGATCAGGAGTTCCTTCTTCTTCCGTTAGTGACCCTGTTTAATCACAGAGTGTAAGGTTCTGCCGGGCATATGCTGATTTTTGCTTTTGCTCTCTTTTCCGGTCTGGGTTTGGCACTGGTAAGAACGGACTAGGTGCATCACCCTTGAAGCATGTAGAAGCGTGGAGCTTTTTCCCACAGTGCATACAGCCCTTTGTCTTACACTCTGTAAAACTGTGAGTGTTTGACCCACAACCTATGCAGCGGTTGGCCTTTTCGAGTACTCCAGACGTGCCCTCGGAGAGGCAATTTTGGTACAGTTTGTTGACCAATGCTCTTTGCTTCCGCAATAGAAGCAGAACTGATGTAAACATCTCTTTTTTCGGAAACTGGGTTTTTTCCTGCATCCTAGGTATGTGCTTTTCAATTTCCTCCTCTTGCTTACATTATCAAGAGTGGCCAGGAGTTTAGTCAATGTCCAACATTCATTCTGCGGCAAAGAGACCTTTTCCTTAAGTGCGTTTCTCTGAATAGCCACTGTGAACTTTGAAAGAATTTTCGACAGAAGCCAAGGGCTATCCAGACATTCGCGTTTGCTCACAAGTTGAGCTGTAGTGGCGGACAGTTGGTCGTTAAGCTCGCACTGATCTTTGAGCTGCGTATTCTTGCGCTCCAATGCTCCAACTGACTGTGAAGATTGGTAATAATGCTCTGCACATTACCATACCTTTCCTTCAGATGGGCCACTGCAAGGGTATAATTAGCTTAGCTTACTTGAAACCGAGCTATCGACTCACGGGCTTCACGTTTTAAAGCTTTCAGAAGATAGTTAAATTTCTGGAGATCTGACAGTTGTGATGAATGTACTGTTGCGTCAAATAATTCCCAGAAACTGTTCCACTGCCAAGTTTTACCGCTGAGTTGTGGCAACGGTATTTTTGGAAGCTCTACCCGAGCAGCTGTGCTCCCACCATTTATTTGGCGATCTACACCAGGAATTTCTAATTTATGAGATTGTATCTGATTTTTATTAATTTCGAACTTTACAAGCATGTTCGTGACTTCTACGATCATACTCGCATTAGAAATGTATTCGGAGATTTTCTCCTCTTCCTCCTTCGTTGGAGGCTCTACGAGGCCATCTACTGCCTCAGTAAACCCGAAAAGGGCTTATTCCAAAGTGCTCAGAAGTGTTCTAATCTCCACTTCAGCCACTCGAATCCCAGCTAGAGCAACCCTGCATGCTTCGCTAAATTCACGGCATTTCCCAACGTAGAATGCTTTGATAAGCTCTGTGACATGGTGTTGGAATGTCTGGTTAGGATCCCTTTTCTCGCTTTCAATGATGCTGCCATTCCCTGCTTCTAAGCGGAATGTTGCAGTCCGCTTCCGATTTCGAGGCAAAACAACGTCCAGAAGCCTGCTAAATCGTTAGTCGAGATGAAGGGCGGCGAGGATGCACGAGGCGGTACGGTATGCTTTAATGCAATTACTCACTAATACACACTTCCGGTTAGTGAAGCGTTAGTGTATAGGCAAGCTGTCTCGAAGACCCACCTAATTCGTTGGTTGTCTTCGGTAAAACTCTTCTGGTGCTCGCTATCCACTCTTCGGCTCAGATACTGCTCGATGGTCGATGGACCAGTTGTACACTCGCGTGGTTCGGTGGTTATCTAAAACTTGGGTGATTAAACTTTATCCTAATAGTACAAATAAAATGTAAACAGTGCAACCGATATACAACGCGATATAAGCGAAAGAAACCATTTTAAAGCATTGAAAATGGATAAAAAGTCATAAAATATGAGATTACATGAAAAGAGGGAAGAAAATGCTCTAGTATGCTCACTGATGCTCACTGATGCTCTACATATGATCCTCGCCCTGCTCTCAAAGAAAAGAAATCTGAGTTGGAAGGAAAGAAATTGCAGGGGAATGTTCGTCGGTCCCTATTTTATACGGACGCTTAACGCTCGGCGGGGTTATCACGACCTCGCATCTAGCGAGGAATGCTCTTTACACTAAGCTACATATTTTTCTATGCTCTGGTCACGTCCGTGACACTAGGCCTTAACCTTCAACTAATTAGTACTATTATTTCCACGTCGGAAGAGCAGTGCACTTACGACTTTGATGAAGTGGATGCTTTGCTGATATTTCGAAACGTTCACAAAATCTGTTCCCCAGCACTACATGGAAGTTTCGCTGTTACCTCTAATTGCTCAATCGATTGAAATGACATCAGCTACGAAAATGCCTTTCTCACCCTAAACAGCCTTCCTTTGCACTGCTCCAGCCCTCCTGACGATCTCCCGTACATATTTCTTAGAAAGACAGCTTTAGGACTCATACCCGTCGTAACTTGTTTACTCCATCGAGTATTTCTCAAAGGAGAGATTCCAGCCATGTAGCATGTAGGCCTAGTTCGACCCATACGTAAGAAGGGTGACAAAAGTTATGTGAGAATTGTTTGTTGCAAGCTTAGAGAATTCCTAATTTCTAATAATCTGATAAGCCCGTGTCAACACGTTCCTTATAAATAAATCAACTTCTTCTGCCCTCCTTCCGTCAATTCCTATATGGCAAAATGCCATTGTTAAGAAGAAGTCGGTTCTTATAGCATGCGTAGACTTTTCAAAGGCCTCTGACTCCATACCGCTCTCCTTTTTATTTGCAAAACTAAGACAGTTGGGTATTTCTGGCTGTCTTTATAACTTTTTGAAACCATTTCTCTTCAACAGAAAGAAACGGTTGTACTTAGTATCGTGCGTTCTCGAATTTACAGTACGGAAAAGTATATTAATGACTTGCCACAATGCCTTCTGCATGTGCGTGTGCTGCTTGATATACGCCGACGATGTCAAGATCTTTTGCATAGATGAACCCCACTTATTACAGAAAGCATTGGATCCCGTTTCCAAATGGTCACAAAAATGGAAGCTTGACATTTCCCTTGTAAAAACAACATTTTTGCGGTTAGGTTCCTTTCGTCCATTGAGTGTCTCACTTTCGATTTGTGGTACAGAACTCAAAGAAGCGGAAACAGTGCGTGATTTATGAGTACTCTATTCATGGTCTCTTTCTTTCCAAAATTATATCGACAAAATTGTTCATTTAGCTAGCTGCAAGGCCAACTTTATTTCACGAGCATTTTCGATCCGGAGAATTGAAACTTTGTTTTTATTGTTCACTACATATGTTCGTTCAGTACTGGAATACTGCCCAATGGTTTGTTCATCAAACAAACACTCAGTTGAACGATCGAGAAGGTTCAGTCCAAATTTACCGAGAAAATTTTTGCACGCAAAGATTGTTCCACTTATCCTATAAAGCAAGGTTGTTGCTGCTCAATTCTGATACTTTGGAAATGAGGAGGAAAATACTTGATTATGAGTTTGTGTATAAACTTTCCTGTGAATTAGATTTTGACATATTTTCTAATAGATCTCTTACTATTGGGCATTCACGTGGTCACGACTTTAGGATACTGATAGAAAAAACTATTACAGACCGACAGAGTTCCGTGATTGTTTCACACAGAGAGTCACTTCTGTCTGGGATGACCTACCATCTTCGGTGGTCAAGTCTAGTTCAATCCATTCTTTTCGGAACAAATTGAAGAAAATTATGATGGCTAAGGGATGATACTAGAAACTGAAATTATTTCGTTCTCGGTATATTCAGTTT